TTTTTTTTTTTTTTTTTTTTAGCTGAGCCATCCTGCCACCTGTTGGCAGCTCAGCTCGGGCTGGGTCTCGAACTGCTGTTGCTCAGAGCTCACACTCTTGAGGGAGCTCTTCACCAACTGAGCCACTCCGCCGGCCCCGGCTCTTTCTATTCTTCTGGGTCCAATTTACCTTCATCTTCTCTTTTTTGCAGCTTTCTTCCAGCTTGGAGATGCTCTGCCTCTGTGAATTGGGAATTTGGGGTTCTTAACACAGCATAGTCAATGATTCTTTCTCAGGCTAAATTGTAATCTGTGTAAAGGCAGGGCATAGCTCTTTATTTTTTATGCCTTTCTGTGCTGGCCATGTGATTGGCACTTAGTAAACAATTGGAGATTAAGGGGCAGTTTGTTATTTTGTTAAATTCAAGAAAGAGAAGGTGAAATTTACATATATATATATATGTGTATATGTACTCTAAGTACAAACCCCTTAGTGCATCATGGCCCCATTTGTCCAGAGGGATTTCTGGGATTCACATCCCAGCCTCTCTGTTTACTGGCTGTAACGCTTTGGGCAAATTATTTCACATATCGCTGCTGCAGTTTTCTCACCTGTAAAATTAGGATTATAACAATAGCATAGCAACAGCATGTCTCATAGGGTTAATGGAGGATTTAGTGAGAGTAGACTGACTTGTGAAACCTCTAGAAAAGTATCTGGCTTACAGTCAGTGCTAATAGGGCTGCTTGTTGTGGCCATCAGCATAACCCTTTCTGACATTTTGGGAGTTTTGGTTTTCTGTTATTTTCATTTCATAGTCTACCTTAATTTCTAAATGTGATTATGGCAAATATTTATTTTAAATGTTTCTGCATTTAAAAAAATGCTTTGGTTATACCCTATTGCTTCTCAGTAACAGTAACGGGCGAGCTGGGTTCCTTGAGGTGGGCAGATCTGAGTTTGCATGTTGGTTGTGGTCTCACCATCACTGTATGAATGGTGAACAAGTTATTTAACCTTTCGCTTCGGTCCTTGCTCTGAGAAAAGGAACTAGTAATAGTATTCACATCACAGGAGGTTGATTGAATGAGTCAGTACATGTGAAGCTCCTAGAAAGGGACCTGCACAGAATACACTTAATAAATCTTAACCCACTCCTCCTCCTCCTCTTAGCCCTTGATGATTTCGTGTCTGCCTCTGACCCATTCCCTGGGGTCAGCATGTCCAGTTTTTTCAAGTCTACTCAAAATTAGCAAATGTTCCTTGGTGTCTGCTGTGTGCAGTGCACTGCTCATGGTGTGCGGGCACCTGGAGGTCAACTTCTTATCCCCTCATTCATTTGTGAGCATGCAGGAGACACACGGGGAAGGAAGCCACGCACCTAGAATCTGCCCTCAGTGAGATTTAATGGAGATGCTTCAAAGTGCTCAGGGCATGGAGAGGAAGGGGTGCCTGCATCCCCCTGGGAAAGGCAGGGGCGGGGCCTGCATCCCCCCAGGGAAAGGCAGGGGTGGGGCCTGCATCCCCTAGGGAAAGGCAGGGGCGGGGCCTGCATCCCCCAGGGAAAGGCAGGGGTGGGGCCTGCATCCCCTAGGGAAAGGCAGGGCGGGGCCTCATCCCCCAGGGAAAGGCGGGGGCGGGGCCCGCATCCCCTTGGGAAAGGTAGGGGCGGGGCCTGCATCCCCCTGGGAAAGGCAGAGCAGGCGTGGTGGAGATGGTTCTGCTTGAGCCGAGCAGAGGTTTGCCTAGATTAATAAGGCCAGAGGCACAGGTCCGCACCTGAGATCCTGGGACCTGCTCTTGCTTCCTTTGGGCTTTAGTAAATAGTTTGGCTTGAGCATAGTATGTGTGTGGGGTGATGGTAGGCAGGGCTGCACTTTGTTCTCACTTCATCCTCAGATTCTGGGAGACCTTCGAGGGCTGTAAGCAACGGAGAAGTGAGCTTATATTTGCATTTTAGGAAGGTGACCCTGGGAGGCTGTGTGGCGGAGGGTCCGGAAGGGAAAACCAGAGGTAGACAGGCCAATTAGTAGAGAGGTTGAGGAGCGTGATGACCCTGGGGTGAAAGAGGGCAGTAGAGCAGGCAAGGAGAGGAGGGGACGGGGATGCCTTTGAAGGCAGGACTGGCCACCCTGACTCCTCCCTGTGTGCCTGGTACCTGGACAGTGCCCAACACACAGGACTTCGGCAGCAGATGGCTTCTGAATAAATGAATGAGGGAGACACTTCTCTTCTTGAAAAAGCAAAAAAAAAAAAAAAAAAAAAGAATGAGGCACTCCGTGGGGGCAGGGTTAGGTAATGCCAGTTTCCTGCTTGGTTTGCCTGTAGATGGTAGTTTTTAACAGGATTCATCATATGGAAAGAGGACTGGATTTGAGGGGGAAGGTAATAAGTCTAATTGGAGCTGTGAAACTCGAGGTGCCCTGGGACATCCGGGTAGTGGGCTGTAAGTCTAGAGCTCATGATCTTGGTTGAAATGGGTGGAGTAGAGGAGCAAAAATGCCAAGGAAGAAACTGTTGCATCTTCGATCCCGTCCATTTGGCAGACTGCTATTTAGTCTGTATCTCTAGCCAAGTCTTCTCTCCTGAGTTGGTAAGTCTGTCCATCTCCCAGAGGCCTTCCTCTCACTCTTTTCCAAACTCAGTATTTAAGACAGAGCTCATCGCCCACACATCACAGGAGACAAGAGCGAGGAAGAGATAAGAAAACCCTGAGCCAGAAGTCATGACAGCCAAACCCAAGCTCTACTACTTTCGTGGTAGGGGCAGGATGGAGTCGATCCGCTGGTTGCTGGCTGCAGCTGGAGTGGAGTTTGAAGAAGAATTTATTGAAACAAGAGAGCAATATGAGAAGTTAATGACTGATGGACGCCTGCTTTTTAACCAGGTGCCCCTGG